AAGTTAATTTATAACTCTACAATGGATATACATATGTGTGTGTTTGTGTGTCTGTGTGTGTGTATACACATCCACATATACACATGTGACCATAATCTATAAAGAGGCCATGAATATGAAATTGAGCAAGTAGGTACATATAGGAGGTTTTGGAATATAAACGTAGACATACTTTCCTGCTACTTGCCTTTTCTTAGACAGAAAGAAGGGAAAATCCACTTATCCAAGATAGGGCATGCATAAAATTAAAATAGATGCACTAAACTGCTGCTTGTTAAGCCAAAAACTTTTGGACTTTGCAGATGAAATTCAGCTACATGCATTATCCAAAATCTCATCCCAACAGTAGTGATGACTTGGGAAAGGTTAGAGCTGGAATGCTGTAATATTAATGGAAGGTAGAACTTAAAAATATTGTTTGGTTTATGACTGTTGCACATTTCTAAGTTAATAAATATTTATTTGTGGTAACAAAAACAATAATAATATTTCTAATCAGAAAACTGATTTTAAAAATGTACATCTTACCAGAACAGACTTTGATAACTTTATTAAGTTTCAGCAATTATACAAACTGAGCTATATAAAGAACTGTTATTTGGGAATATATGCTGTAAAAGCATAGGGATATTGAAGTGTCCATTCTCTGCATAGACTCTATTTACCATTTAAAGCTTATTTTATTCCAAAAATGAGCTCCAATAAAATCTTTTAAATTTTGAGGCTCAAGAACTATAGCATGAATGAATTGTTAAATCCCAATCTTATGTGAATTGCTAATTTACTGAAACATTTTAAAATAAAGGTAACAAAAAAGGTCAGTCAACTTACAAATGATAAAATTATTTATTGTACTTGGAACTATGTTTGTAACATAGATACATGCAAATATAATTCACTTAAAGAAACAATCTTGGAGGAGAAAACTAATTTATAACTCACATTAATCTGTATATGAGGTTAAAAATTCAACTTAAAGCAAGAAACTTATAATAGTTTAAAGTCAAGTTAAAGTTTAATGGAAAATAATTTTCCAAGATATTTTTAATTTATAAAAATACATTTTCACAGCCGTGCGGTGGTGGTGCACTCCTTTAATCCCAGCATTTGGGAGGCAGAGGCAGGTGGATCTCTGTGAGTTTGAGACCAGCCTGGTCTACAAGAGCTAGTTCCAGGACAGGCTCCAAAGCCACAGGGAAACTTTGCCTCAAAAACATATATAGATAGATAGATAGATAGATAGATAGATAGATAGAGATAGAGATAGAGATATAGATATAGATCAAGACATCTCAATACATAAATGGTATCCTTTCTCATACATGGTACACAACCTCACCAGAGTAATTGGTTTGTTAGCATCATTATAGAATAAAGATAAACATGTAACTAAGGCTTGATGGACTTCTGTTGCCCTTGTCTCTAAACCCTGACCAAATATGAAAACTATTGGTGGAAAGTATGTAGGCCAGAGCAGGCAGTTCTTCCCATTATCTATGGAACATGAATAGCTCTCGAGTATCACACCAAAGAGTAATTAATTCTCATTATCAGTGGACAAGTGTGACATTCTAAATGTTAAAACTACAGAGAGGCCAATAGTAATTAGTAAGCACTCAATATCTCCCAAACTGACACACAAGAAACTGTGAACAGGAGACACTTGTACCTAAGCCTGCAACCCAACTGGTATTGGACATGCATGATATTTTACCTGGCCATGTCCCTTTCTCTGTTTCCAATTCTCATAAATTTGAAAAAGCTAATTCCATTTTCCTTAGCATAACCATCAATGTTCCCTAATCAAAGGATACTACCAGATATTTGGACATTAAACTCACTACTTTGGGTAACATTGTAGAAAATCCAAGTAGAGTCTTTGTAGCTTTGCTAAGAAATCCAGATATCCTTCTTCACTAAGGGTCATGACAGAATCAAGGAAAGGGAAAAGAGAAAGACAGAAAAATGCAATTTACTCTGGTGCTCTGGCTCACATTGACGAAAACAAAACAATCAAGTGGTGCTTGCAGGGTGATTATTTATCTGTCTTAACAGGCCTTTATCCTGGCTGAAAGCTTCACTGAAAGCTTCCATTTCTGTCTGGGCATTCAGATTACGACTGTGGGCTGTCAATGATAGCATGCTGCTTAGTCTTCAATTTCCATGTGCCAGTTTCTCCAAACACTGGGAATATTTTAATGAGACATAACACTGTGCTAGACCTTTATATCTATTACACTGTTCTTTAAAAAATACTTGGATTAAAGAAAGCAATGTGGTTTGCAGCACTGTTCATGTGAGATTCCAAATTAGCTTGAGTATATTATGATGTCATAATTGTAAAGAAATAATAAAAGGGTATTTTAGAGAAGCAGTTATACTCCAATGTGAATGGAAGACACAGAGCACAAGGTGCCTTCTAGACACAACAATACTGACCTACATATGAACTCACAGAGACCCTGGCAGGAAGCACAGGACTGTCCAGGACCAAACCAGAAATCCCAACACTAAAAAGAGGAAGGAATAATGATCTCCCATCTGAAAATCATAAATAAAGAAAAAATGATATTTTTCCACTGAAGTTTCGTTGGGAAAAAAAAAATCTGTGTGAGATAAGTAGCCACTCAGAGAAAGCATACCAAGAAAACCCTGATTATCCTTTCTCCAGCAGCCTATCACCTCCCAATATGTACTAAGATGGGAATATGGGAATCCACACTATGGATAGCCATAGTGGGAATTTGGTTGACTTATCTGGCACAATACATGCATGTTGTCTTGGTGTTTGGAAATGATAACCTCAAAAGTACTCTTAAGAACCAGTATAATATTAAGATGCAGATATCTACTAACTCTAGCTAAGGTGAAAGAGTGTTTCTCAGTGGACTAGAAATCATCACCTTGTCTAGGCTGGCTGGCCAACAAAATTCAGAAATGTGTGTGTCAATTCCCCTCATGTCTTGACAAGTAATAGCCCACATTACTATGCCTTGGTTTTTATATATATCCTATAAATAAAATTCAGCTGCATATATCTGAAAGGCAAGTGTGTGCTGACTGATAAAATTTCCTAGCCATGAAAATTTTGATTTGGAAGGAAAAGTGGAACATTGAATATTGTTCAAGGACAAAAAGGAAGCAGACTTATGGGAAACTCCAAACATTAAACTTTCTATCACACACCTGAAGTTATAGTCTGAGATCCTTAATTATCTATTTTAGTTTTCTAATGCTCGAGTAAAATCTTAGGAAATGAAAAAATTGCATCTTGTTCCCCTGTGAACCCTAAACATGTGGTAGCAAAAGAATCACAGAGAAATCAGATGCATGATCCATATCATATATAGTCCAAATATCTGTCAATCACTAAAGAACACTCAATATCTTTCACAATAATGTCAATTTTAGAATTTCCTACATAGAGTTTCTTTCATAGAGATTCGCCTATGTCATTCAAGATTATATTTAGTCTGTTCTTTAGCAACATGAAATACTGAAGCCAAAAGTACGGATAATACTGCTACAAAATTTCTAAGTAAATTATATGTATGTATCATTTTGCCTTACTTGCCATCATTTTGCAAATCTTACCTAACAGGGTTTAGAGTCTTTAAAGCTCCTAGAAACATATGAATGTCTTATGGTATTTCTGGTCAATAAAGCAGACTTGAGTGCTGTGAGAACGTAGCTTCTATTTATAATGTGAAAGATGCATCCACAAAATCTCAACAATAGAGATACATAAAGATGGTTAACAAAATGACAGCACATGTTTTCATGCCAGGGTGGATGTCAGACATCTCAAAATCTTCAGTAATAACTGAAGAGCTACACACAATTAATGAATGTTGAGAGGAAGATTGAGACTTCTTCTGTAACAAGGCCTTTGATAAATTATTAAATATCAAAACATCAGCCCAAACACAAATATAAGAGTATTGATTAATAGAAAAAGCAATCAGAAGATAAGTATATAATTGCATTATTCCATAATGATATATAAGTATAAGCCAAAATTTTTAGGGCTAATGGCTGTCCAATATACAACACACTCCTGCCACTGGGGTATTAATTTGTGACATAAAATGTCTACCTAGGAAATTATCTCCTTTATATATGGGAGTGCATTAAAATTACTCTCATATATGTGAATATTTTAGAAAGATTTTACAATAAGATTTACAAAAAAGAATAACAGTAGTTTAAACCAGATGAATTCCAGCAAGTAACATGAGTCGTCCTTATATGCATAAACTTTGCAGTCTTGACCAGATCTCCTAGGAACTCATGGGCTTGGAAACAGGAATGCTGTTTAGTGTTTCCTGATAAACCCTATTAGTGAAAGTCATAGCCTCACACCATACTGATTAAAACTGGAGACTGCTCATATCTTATTCTCAAATAGGATGGCTGTAAAGGCTCATACCTGAAAATTTGGTATCTGAAAACTCTTTGTAAATGGGTCATCTGGGTGGGTCTCACCACAGTTGTAGTTCATAAAATTCATGCTTGTCAATGAGATCTAACTGTCTTCTAATGGGGAGGTTATCACTGTGTCCTCCATACCAAGGATATCACAGTAAGTTAGGCTTGTGTATTATATGAGTCCCTTGAACCTTACTATTGTCCCTTCTATGCCATTTCTCTCTGTAATGAGGGTGATAGTATGGGTGTTTGTCTCCTCTGAGGTTAAAAAAGCATGCTATAATCTTTGTGATACATGAGTTAATAATCAAAATAAAACTCTCCAACATATAGAATATATGACATGATTATGTATGGAAGTAAGACATGTGCAGATCATACAAACAACATTTTTATTACTTTTGTGAAAAGACATAACTTGGTGTCAAGTGAAGCAGTCAGTAATCCAGTAATGTACTTATGTCTAATACCTTCATAATATCCAGAATATAACTAAAAACCAATTTCAGTCTAATTACTTACATGAGTAATCAAATCACAATGAAATTAGTAAACAGTTGGCTTTACAATACCATAAGCTCAGGGAAGTGGTCTCCTCCATTGTCAGCTTCTCAGGATGCAGAGAGGAAGCTTGGCTATAGTACTTGAATGCAACTTCACTAAGCAGCACTGTCAGACTCTATATCAGAAATAAATGATATAAATTAAAGACCATCATAAGGATAAATAAATGTGAGTATTCTTCATGCTATAAACATGTATTTAGGATTACCATTAGTATTCATTTATATTTTAATATGTCACAATTTATTGACTTTAAGAGGCCAAAATTCTCAAAGCTATTCAAAGATTAAAATATCCTATCCAAGCTATGGGGTGGTCCCATATGCCATTAATCCCAGCACTTGTGAGTCAGACTAAGCTGGATATCTGTGAGTTCAAGACCAACCTGGTCTACAAGATCTAGTTCCAGGACAGGCTCCAAAGTGAAACAGAGGAACCCTGTCTCATAAAAGGCTCCCTTCCAGAGTGAAGATATATTAGTATTTTCTCTATGATAAAACTGACTTAAACATCATAAAGAACTTCTATAAAATAGGCAACATCAACAAAATACACAAATAGAAAAGTAGTGATGGAGAACTTCAACTTTCACTCATACATTAAAACAGAAAATTTTGTTGCCTTGAGTCATTTGCATATTGTTAAATAAAGATTAGTGTAATGAAATGTGGTCCAAAATGAACACTTAAGTGTATTTATGCGAATAATCATGGATGTGTGAGGGATTTGGTATATGTAGTCAGGACTAAGCAGGCAAAGTGAGCATTAAATCTCTTCCTCTATCTAATTCCAGCTTATGTTCAGTGGCAAAGAGGCTGTCATTTGTCCTAGACATCATTATCCTGTTAGACTGGCAGATCAATTCAGAGATTTGAATAGGGAAATTTAAACAGGAACTGCTTGAAACACTGGTATCTTAGGATTAGCTCTCAGAGAGCAGGAATGCATTCAGAAAGCTGGTAAAGGAAGAAAGGTTGTCTCATTTAGTTAAATTAACTTAGAAAGACACTGACCACTGTGGCTATATTTCAATAAAAGTACACTACTCACTGATATATCTTATGAATATCTGATATCTAACTAAGAAAACTCAAGTTCTCCTTAAAAGAAGTAAATCCTGCCTAACAATGTAAACCAGCAATTGTCACATGGCTATTATATCCATGAAACTTAGAGGTCTTTACAGGCTCTTTCATAAAACATTATAATATATACTGCATTACCACTTTTGCCACCATATCCATAAATTATTTGAGAGGTTGGTATGGAAAATGCATTAACAGGTCATGTTTATATAAAATATATCTGTAGCGTTGTGTGTATATACATAACAATAACATTTAGTCAGGAAGTAATGAATTTGAGAGGGGAATGATAAGTGCACAGTAAGAGGTTCAGACACAGTGATATGGAAATTATGTAAATGCATGTTTCTTGTATCAAATCTTCATATGTTTAAATAAAAAGAAAAGAATATAGCAAAGGGACACAGAAAGTACAGTATCAGATAAAAGGTACAGTGAGATAGGGGAAGTTGGATGACAATGACAAAATTTCATATACGTGTAAAAAAAGTCTAAGTTTTTTTAAAAAAGAGTTTAATCTAAAAAGAATAAAAGACTCAACAAATCAGGTCATGTATACAAGTGGAATATTAGGAAATTAAATAGAAGGAAATTCCTAGATTAATAAAAGTTTCAGGACTTTTGCAGACATTAGAACTGAAAACTTTTAAGTAGATTTCACTTCACAGAAGATTTTCTGCGTATTGTCCTCTGGGCAAATGCTGTTGAAAATGAGCAGTATGTGGTTCTATCACAAGAAACATAAACTATGTCTACGTGAAAAGAACAATATGTGTGACTTCCAAAGAAATAGTAAGACACAAATAACCTAAAGATTTAAAGATTTAAAAATATGGCCAGCAAACATGGTGATATAAGAAAACATAAACAATGCAATAGAGTTTTATATACTAGAGTTTATTAATTGAAAAGAAAGGGAAAAGCACAAGTTTTATAATACCACCAGGAAGATGTGTTGACTGTATCTTCAGGGATACCTCTTCAGAAGCTGGGGAGGTGCAGTTCCTATGTGTTTGAGTCTGAGAATATCATGAGCAGGCTTGTGAGAAACTTCATCAGGATCATGAGATAAAAGACAAAACAAGTAGGATTAAATACATAGAAAGTGTAAAGCAGGTCTGGATTACCTCTCTTAGGATAGGTTATAATTACAGTAAAAGCAGTACTCATCTGGTAACTCTTGGTTTTTATAAATCACTTGCTTCCTTTATTACTACATGATTTTTTCCAAAGAGTCCAGTTTTGGGGAGCCTTGGACTATTCTACATTACTGCTTTAATATGGGCACTTTCTCCATATAATCAACCAGACAAGGAAAAATCCAACACCAGTTCTCCACTTTTATCCAATTCATTCCATATGTCAGATATCAACACGAAATCCCATCCTCATATCCCTTCCTTGCTAAAATTCACAGCTTACTTCTGAGGTCTCACCTCTGCAATCTCATTACCAGTAGTAGCTCCATTTTGCCTTTCAGCTGTCCACTGAAATTTATCCCTCAGATGGCGCAGCCGCAGAGATGAATCCATGCATCCAATGAAACCTAATGCCTGACACAGCATATTGAATAGAGAAAGAACTCTATAATCTAAAGTCTCCAATAGATAAAATTGCCAATATGACTTCACCTTAAAAACATGTTATTACAACATTGTGCTTTCCATGATTTACCAACTATCCCCAAAGCACATTCAAACCATCATGGCAATGTTTCCTATGCAATAAGTGCATCATTGTACTCAAAATATTTGCTGGAGTTTAATAATCATTCCATACACTGTGAAGAAATGTTGCTATAATTGTTATTAAAATGCTGATTGGCAGATGGCTGGGAAGGAATTTGGTGAAATGTGAGAACTGGAAAGAAGTGTGGAGTCACAGAGATACCATGAGAAACATATCTTCAAGAATGGGGGTGAATACCTGAGATAATGGAGCCTCAAGACAGCTTTAATAGATTAATAGAAGTGAGTTAATTTAAATTCTAGATGCAAGGGCAAGCCATTAGCCAAATATTTACAATTAATTTTAAGTTACTTTCAGGTAATTGGAAATTGATTTAGGGACAGAAATGCCTTCTTACAATATGATGTGTACCCCATAGCAAGAAAAACATCATTGATTTCCAAAATCAAGCTGTAATATTGGCTTCTGACCCCACTATCACATGTATAATAAACAACCTTTATTTGGATAGAAATGCAAACTATGCCTATCACTCCTGCTTAGTATGTTCAAAAGAGCAGACCTATTTATAATCCCACCAAGATAATCTCTGGGAAACCAATAAGGCTATTGTTTATAATTACATGACATAGATGACTTAATTACTGCAGGCTGAGCACTATCAACCAAAAGCTGCAGCAGAATGTCTTTCCTAGTAGGAATGGCATTTCTGTCCTGTCAAGGGCATAGATCGGGCCACCATTCACTCATTTTTTCCACCCTGTACACTCAAGTCCCTCTCTGAGTCCTTGTTGACTTTGAGCATATTTGCATAAAATGGGTGGGATGGATAATCTGTGTAATCAGTCTTCTCACCCTTCCTGCTGTTCTATGTACAGGAAAACAGTAAACAATCTAGGATTTTTTTTCAAATCTGTCCCAGTGAAATTCCCCATACCATCAGTTCTATGACTTAAAACTCCTGCACAACAGAGAAATTTAACAAAGTCCAAGATAACATTTAGAATTACCTGCTCACTACATCTCAGAATCAATAGACAGGGATGGTCAATATGGCAAAGATGTGCATTAAGTGACTATCACGGTTTTGCTATGGTACCATAATGAGTAGTGTCTGTATTTTTCCTAGAGATAATTGCTGGCTATGGGAACTTCACAACTATCTTGGAATGAATTGGAGACCCAGCTAACCAAACTTGTTATGATTCTGCCAGAAAAGTTAAGGACATGCTGCTGTCTATATTCAATACATAGATGTTTTGCTTAATACTCCACACATTCTTTTAATGAATTTCCTACTACAATCCACATTCACTATTACATTTCACTACACAATCATGAGCTAAGGATTCAAGGTTATAACAAGTAGTATGTGTATAGAAAGTAAGTGTATTTTCCTCCAGAAGAGGCCTAAAGCCTGGGAGAGTGAATTATATAAATGAAAGAAAAGCTTCCCTACTCCCAAAGTTAATCAGGATAAGAAGATCTATGGAATGACCTGCAGATATTTAACAGCAAAGTCTTCCATGAAAATACAAATAAATTATCTTGAGACATGTGAGGTGTTTAGAATGGGCCAGTAGGAGGCTGAGAGGGTGGTGTCTACAGTGAAAAAGTAGTGTGATGAACTGTACATTAGTAAAACTACAGACTGCATATCCCTTGTAATAAAAAACTCAAGAACCTAAAAGGAGAATTACCACAGGAGCAAGGAATACAGAATCTGTCTTAGGAGTCCTAGAACTTGACAACTTCCGGTTTCTCCAGATTGCTTAAACATAGTGGAACCTCAATCCAATTAGTCTCTGTGTTGTATTGAGGAGCAATGCTGAAAATGCTTGCTTTATACCATTTCAGGTTATAATTTTATAATGAGAGCATGCCTGCATGTCTGCATGTCTGTGATTGTGGGGGGAAATATCCTTTCCTTTTATTTTTGAGAGTATAATTTAACTACAACATTTCTCCCTTACTTTTCCTCTTTCAAATCTTCACATATCTCAGTATACACTATCCTTCAAAGATGAACTCGTTATAATAACCATTATTGGATACATATATGTATAGGAATTGAGATACTTTCTTAAAAATACCCTGATATGTCTGCTAATGCTACATGCATGTATTTTATAAAGCAGATCTTTGGATAGTAGACAATAAATTGGTGTCCACATCTCTAAGAATGGCATCTGCATTTTCTAGATTTTCTCAGTTACATATAGAACTTGAGTAATAATTGATGATCCTTATCATAGACACCTAACTCCATGATACACAAGTCCAGTGGGTTCCAGCTTTGGAATTGCCAGAGGCTGATCTGTATTATTGGAATAAACTGGGCCCTATTACCTTTTGGCCTCAATACCTTTAAGAATACAAACTGATATTTCCATTTATATTATTTTATCCAATATACCTACTGTATGGGAGCCATTGCCAAAATGCCTCACACTATTTTTGCTATGGTTCTTACCTTATATCAGAAGTAATTCTCAGAGCTGAATCTCATTATGAGAGTCATTTCTCTATAAACACTGAAGGAGCCAGAATTCATCTGTAGATACTTGCTGACACTTCTGTCACTGACATGACATTTCCAGGTAGTAATCAGTCATACAGGTAAGAAGAATACCTGATACCAAGGAGAAAAAGACTGTTATCCTGTAATTTCTCAAATCACTGTGATTATACAGATGACCTCATCTTACTGATATCCTTCACCATACTCTTTATTGTCCACGTCTGTTTAAGGAAACCTACTACTCTCTTATAAAGACAAATCAAAGGGCAAAAATTTTACTCTGTAGCATAGATATAATTTGTACAGTTTATTATTTTCAGTTATTTGTCTCTTTCCTATATCACAAACAAAATCCAGGTTGTTCCCAAATAAAACTACAATTTTGGTGTATTCATCTTCCATATGATTGTTCTACAACCCAATGGTTCCTCAGATTTCCTTTCCCCTGTAGTTACTATAGGTTTTATACAGGTGCAAGGATAGAGCCCTCTAACTTCATAATCTATATCCTGTGCACTCTAACCTCTTTATAAAGCCCTTTTTACTCTTGTCAGACTTTCATAAAACAATCCATGGCAAAGTAGTTATATGATATAGATAAAAGTTCTATGAAACACAGATTTGGGGGGAATACCAAAGGGTTGTAGTATTATCAGATTGTCAGTCATAACTGACTGTCCAGGTATGGCCTTAATCAAGAGTCAAATCACTCCATTTTAGACCACAAAAGTCTAATATAGACTACAAAATACACAAGCTTGTTTCTAATTTAAATTTTAAAAAGTGTAAAATGAAGAAAAAGCAAATAGAAATCTATTGCAAAATTCTAAACTTGACAGAAATGACATAATACTCTTTGAAATAAATTTGGCAAGTATATATACATTTTGACGTATAGAACTTAAAAGTTTTAAAATAAAGTTTGAAAGAATATTCAAAAAAAAACAAATTATCTTACTATTCTCAATTTAAGGACTATCAGAACTACATACATAATACTTGAATAAAATTTTCCACAAATCAGTTCTATGAGGACACAGGGAGTAAATTGAAGAAAAACAGAAACACAAAGAATGATAAACATAATGCGGAAATTAGTATTTTATAACACCCAGAGATTAGATATAAATTTAATATATGTGAATGTATTTAATTGAAACTGAAAAAAATTGGAGAAATAACATAGCCATCAGGAGAATATATGTAATCTCAAAATAACTCTAGATACAGGCAGAAGTAAACCATTTTGAGTTGTTTGCAAGTGGAGTCCAAGGAATAGACTGCACAGGAGTACAGTCTATTATTATCACACTTGGTTATTTCCAACAAGAGACATGTAAATCCCCACTGCAGATATCAATGCTTTTATTTGAATCAAGGAGGAGTTGAACTTGAATACATCAAACTTTATCACTAAGAAACATCTTTCAGAGACCAGGGAAGTGTTAGGAAAGCAGGTGAGGGAGGAAAGTGATGAAACGCCCAGCCTAGTTATGATGCCATTGAACGACTAGCATGGCAAGATATCATTGAAGAGAAACTAGTGGATCTTATAACTTGCCCACTGCTAATAGCTACCTGAGGCATAAAAGGCTTACCTAACAAAATATCATGCTTCATAATGTAAAACAGCAAAGGTCATGTTGGGATGACTCCATATAACTTAGATGAAATTAACACTACTTTCATAAAATCATTATAATCAATAACTGTATTCCAAAATCTATCCTTATACCCAAAGAATATTATTGACCCAAGAACACTAATAGGATTCAACAGATCCTGTTTATATATGATTGTGATTGTGTGTGTGTGTGTGTCTGGGTATGTGTACTTTCTATAATCAACAATAAAAATGAAGAGGTCATGAATATTGAAGAGTAATGAGGAATAAAAAGAAAGGGTTGTAGGTACAGAGATGTGAAAAATATCTTTCATCCACTAAGACAAACACATACACATAAGTACTTCCCCATCACGTTCTCTTTTCTGTCTAAATAAAAAGGATAACTTATCTTTTATAATAAATGAAGAAAACCATAACCATAACAATGAGGCAGGACTATGAGTCAAAGAGGATTCTGGGAAATGCAGTAGAGAAGTTGTGATCCAAGCAGGAAGTGACATAGCAAGGAGACTCATAGTTAAGCAAAGAGAAACAGGAAGTGTCCCTTTTTGCCCTCTGCTCTTGCTCCAATGGCACAAAGTGATCCACCAGCAAGGAGGGACACCAATGGAAGGTGACTGATAAGATAAGTCTTATAAAATATATAGATTTATGAAAATTAAGACTGAGCTAACAGATGAGAATCCTAGTCATTGGCCAAGCAGCTTTGTACCTAAAAAGAAGAAAAGAAAAGAAAATTATCTAGATAGACTACACTTCAATGAAGTACTTAATTCTTAAAATAAAAAAATAGTAAGTGACTTAGAATGTATGGTTTCAGCAGATCAGGATGAGATGAAGAATTGGGATTAAAAGAACAAAAATCATTGATTAATAAATGAAATTATATTTATTAATATAGATTAATGCAAGATTAGGAAAGGTAAAACAGATCAGATCAGGTGTGCAGCTGCAATTTCATGAAATTAAGTGGAAGGTAATACATGTAAAAGGTAGAGTGAGGCAGGATACAAGATTAACTCAAAAAAATCTGTAGCCCTACTATACACCAATGACACATTGGCAGAGAAAGAAATCAGAGAAACATCATCCTTTACAATTGCCACAAACAACATAAAGTACGTTGGGGTAACACTAACCAAAAATGTGAAGAAGATACCAGAAAATGGAAAGCTCTCCCATGCTCTTGGATAGGTAGGATCAACATAGTAAAAATGGCACTCTTGCCAAAAGTAATCTACAGATTCAATGCAATCCCCATCGAAATCCCAACACAATTCTTCACAGACCTTGAAAGAACAATTCTCAACTTTATATGGAGAAACAAAAGACCCAGGATAGCCAAAACATCCCTATACAATAAAGGAACTTCTGGAGGCATCACCATCCCTGACTTCAAGCTCTATTACAGAGCTATAGTCCTGAAAACAGCTTGATATTGGCACAAAAATAGACAGGTAGACCAATGGAACAGAATTCAAAACCCTGATATTACCCCACACACCTATGAACACCTGATTTTTGACAAACAATCCAAATTTATACGATGGAACAAAGAGAACATCTTCAGCAAATGGTGCTGGCATAACTGGGTGCAGACATGTAGAAGACTGCAGTTAGACCTAAGCCTATCGCCATGCACAAAACTTAAGTCAAAATGGATCAAAGATCTCAACATAAATCCAGCTACACTGAACCTATTAGAAGACAAAGTGGGAAAT